ATTGTGGGCAGCAGCTATTGGCCCCTCTCTAGGCAAGTACTGCAGCTGTCTTACCTAACAGTTCTGTCTGATTGCCTTTCAAGACCAGAAAGAATAACTCTTGAGACACCGTCTAACCTCACATGTGATAGGAGACACAGAATATCCTAAAAAGAGACAATATCTGGACTGCTATTCCCCACAAAGAAACAAAAATCAGTGTTCTTCCTGACGTCCTGAGGGAAAAAGCACAGGCTGCTCTTTTAGTTTCCCAAATTCTCCACACACAACCTTGCTTTCTTCCTTTTAACTCTGAATCCGTTTATTATCTGTAATGATTTGACAAGCAAATGCAGTTTAGTGTCTGGTTTGTTTGTGGAGTGTTCATTCCTTGAATTGCTGAGGCTGGGTATTTGTGCTTGGTCACTGAAGTCACAGAATATTTTTTCTGCTTCCAGACATTGGCTTGAAACTTATACAGTAGAAATAAAATGAATGCCAAATAATGAATTAATCTGCCTAATTAATATTATATTTTTATCATTTTATTCTTTATAATTTTCAAATACCAAGACGATTGTGATGATGATTGTCCTGGGTAGGCACTTATGCATATGAATACAGGTATATAAAGCCAGCATTGATTGGTGGACTTTTTCAAAAGTGTAATTTTTAATTTTTTTCCTACAGGAACAAGGTAGTGTAGGTTTAATTTATTTAGGCGAGCAAAATTACCACTAAACCCTTCTGAGATTTTGTGGTTATGCTTCTGTACATGGAAGATGACCTTATTCTTATGTGATACTATCTTTCCAACATAGTGTCTTGTCTAATAGCCAGGACTGTATCTCTTTCAAATAGAGTGCCTAAATCAGAACTTAAATTCACAAAATATCTGTTAATAAAAATGATGCTTTTGTCTTCTAAAGCTCTGATTTTTTGTAAAAATCTAGATTTCCTCGTTTCTTCAAAAGCTGTTGATAGTTGTGTATTCTTATATTTTCTCTATAATTTATATAACTTTCCCAATCTTATAACTCAGTTGAATTCAGTTCATGTTGGGAGTTAGTTTTAGTTTTGTTTTCTTTAGTTGAGGATATGATAAAGTGAAAGCCCTGTCTACTGCTGTCACAGACCCTCTTTGCTTTCCTTGAAAGGTAATCCAAGACATTTGTTTTATTGACTTGAATCTTGAGAAAGTGCATGTTTTGAAGGAGCAGGAATTTCGCTCTAGAAAACTTTACTTAATGGAAAATCTAGAGGCTTTCTGTGCCTCTGGCTATTTAACACATGGTCTTCTCCTCACATCCACCTTCTATCTTTTCCATTGAGACACTGAAAATTACATAGGAAAATACTAATAGAATGTAACTAATACTTTATGGTGTTCTATATGTAATATTTTTTAAGACAACCATTTATTATGATTATAAATTTTGGGGTTTAGCCATTGAAGTCCTTTAAAAAAAGAAAAATACCCTCTTATCAAAGCACAGTTTGTAAAGTGCACACCATACTCAAAATACAAGCCAATACGTATTTTCATTGACAGTTTCAGGCCGTGTTATGCAGTGCATGTTTTAAGTGCATTTGGGATTTGCTAGGAGATAGAACAGAATTACCAACCAACCAAAATATCTGTTTCCCAGGGTATAAGACGGAATACCGGCTGATCCGAGGACCTAATATCTGCTTTTGTATTAGGAAAATTTCAAGAAATTTCAATACATTTCAGTTCCAAATCATGGGCTTCTAGTATTTAAGCTAAAGAAGTCACCTTTCACTATCACTGAAACAAAGAAAAGACTTTGGACTGCTCTGGATCTACTTAACTCACTTGGATCAGCCATGGGACTCATGCAAAGGCTGCTGAGCAGCGAGCAGTATGCACAAATACGAGATCAGATCTTCTTCTGCACTCCCTGGTGGGTAGCACATCTTTAGGCACGAAAGGAAGATTTCTGTGTAAAACCTTTGGTGCCTAGAAAGTCTAAGATGTCCAGGAAGGATAGGAGAGGTCATTTGGGGTCTTTGTTGGGAAAGTAGGCACTTAAATCATGTCTGTCCTAGTAAGTAAGAGCGGAGAGGGACTATTCTCTGGTCTATCAGCTAGCCCAGCACAGTTCATCTGCAAACGTCTACATTTTTTTCTTTTTTCTCCAGAAAACAGCATGGCCATATCAAAACTGTTTACTGGGTATGGTGCTTGGAATACGCATTTTCCCAGGCAATGGCTGGGCACTGTCTGGAAATAAGTGAGTTAGCACAGCCAGAGCTGTGGAGGCAGTGTGCTAGCAGCTAGGTACTACAGAGGAGCCTGCTCTGGTGCTCAAATCTGGCTCTGACCCTATTTTTTTTCCTTATCCAGATGTGACTTAATTCTACCTCAGCTGCACTATAAGTACTCAAGTATTAAACTGGTGCTTTTCCATGTTGTTCACTCCTCCAACTACTCAGGCTATTTCATGCCAGTTCTCAGGCCTGAAAAAGACTTGGAAAAATGGAGGATCTTAGTGGGAAGGGCTGAAGACCAGCATCTCCTATCTCCTAGGCTCATTTTCAGGACCCCCTGAGGGTTTCACCTACTACTACTTGGACATCTTACAGTGTTCTGCAGAGGTGTCTTGTCCCACAGACCTGAAATTTCTTTTGAAGAAACCAGAGCATGGGGGTAGGAAGGCTGATAAGTATCAGCATCTCACCCTGAAGTGGGATATGACCTTAGTTCATATCCAGACAGAACTCTGAAAATCTTACTTTCCATGTAAACTCACTTGCCAAAACAGAGCAAAATGGGACCAACATATTAAAAATCTTGATACAGACTGCAGACAAGGTTGAAAGGGGCTGCAATAAAAAGGATACAGAGTGGGAGGCATTTATCTGAGAAATAGATCTCAGGAACAGGTATACTCATGCATTCTTTAAAAATACGGACAAGAGTTCAAATGCAATTTTGAGCCAAAGCTGAGGACTTGTGAATCAGAACAGGAAGATGATGTGCACAAACTGAGACTGGATACATAAAAATGGTCACAGAAGCCTATGATTGCATTATTTAGTTCTGCTCTTGAATAAACATTTATTTACTGTCTTGCTTAAGTAGACACATGGGTTTGCTCATTTTCTTGTTACCATGCATGGTGTGCTCTTCAATACACTCCCTATAAACTGATGTATGTTTTCAAATATGATTCATAAGCCAACTTACTACTCTTAGATCTCTTCTATGAAGAGAACATGTGCATTCATACTAAGCAGGTCTACAGTGTTTGTGATCAGAAAGGAACATCTGTGAATATTTATCTGTTATCAGACCCAGTGTTCCTGTCTCCGAGCAATAGACTAGGCTCACTGACTAATTAAAAACAGAAAAACAATTACCTTATTTCTTTTATTCTTGGAAGTGTCAATATAGCAACTGAAGCATTAAAAATGTGGTGGGGGATATAGTCAACACTGGGAAAACCACTCGCTGTTTAAAAGTTTATTTAAGAACAAAAAGTACACACAACACCTAGTCTTCTCATTAATCATTTACTGTGGATAAGAAACCTTTGTAAGCAATTTGAATTTGTAATGAAAAAAATCATGTTCTACAGAATGCAGTAGGCAAAAGCTACTATCTCTATAAAGAGATAATCACAAAACATAGATTAGTGATACAGGCTTCACTTTATCACCTAGCAACCCTACCCATACCTGCCATCATTGCAAACAAGCTAAGACAAAAGTTTTGCAATTCTGCGACTAATAAATTGAAATTAATTATACAATGTAACCCGCTCTTGACACTAATAAAATTATAATTCATGAGATGAAACGTACTGAAATCAAACCAAACTCTTAGTTAGATTGCTCTTTTCAGGTGTTAGTTTTTGAATTTTCAGTGCTTCAAAATTTAATTTAAGTTTCCTTTTTTATTAAAAACAGGTCTAGGAAGAAGGAAAACAATCAGCTGACTATATTGCTTTTCAGCCTGTGATAAAGGAAAGGTAGTTACTAAGATTTTCAGATATTCTGAATGAATACGAAAAGGAAATTTTCATTATATAGCAACCTAGATAGCAAGCACCTAACCAGCAAATAATGTACTTCAAAACAGATAAGTGGAAAATAAAATGGGAAACAAGCAAACCTCTCTGTACTCAGTCATACAGGTTTTTCATCACCTTCATAGCCTGGTGTCCAATCTATATTTGTATGATCACATGTGAAACTTCTCTGTGTCCAAAAGGCTAGTTTAATTCTTATGACAAAGACCATTGCTCGGAAGAGAATAGGCAAAAGAAACTAAAATCAACATGTTTATTTGTTTTTCTGTTTAAATGATGGTAATAGTTGTAATAATCATAGGTCCTGCAGCCATGGCTACACAGCATCAGATGACAGCATCTTTAATGTGTTCCTTTTAGCTCCCAAATGTAGGCATTGCTCCTCACTGCTGCAGATTTATCCCCTAGTCTACAGCTGCTGGTGTTCGGGAACCCTAATGTGAGTTTTAATGCTGTTGACTGGATAAGGTTTTATTTGAAGGGAAGCAGCACCATCTATTGCAACCTGATAGCTTAGCTCTAGGTGATACAAAGAACAGAGCTGGCCTGGGCTGAGTTTTAAACTATTTCTTGCATGTAATTTTATAAGTTTTTCCCAGACCAGCTTCAAATGCGGTTGGGATCTCAGTTTGTATACGATAAGGGACAGGGACAGGCATGTGTGGCATGTGTGCATGCGTCTAATAAAAAGGTGCATCTAAGAGACATACTTGTTTACAAACTAAGATAAAAGAATAGCATAAGCCTAGTCCTGACTAAGCGTTGCTTTTAAATGACTTGGCTGGAGTTTTCATTTCTGAAGTGGGAGGATAGTCAAAAGTTAAGATTATGTTTTACCCAGGTGATATTCTCTCAAAATTTGCTTTCAGAAGCAGCGTTAATGTAGGTGTGCAGTACAGTATGTTCTTCTAATAATGACAGTGCTATTGTCATCCATCTATACTTCTGGTTCTTCTCTTTTTCCAGACTGTCTACAAAGCCTGGCTCTGTTCCCAGTATTTTGAAGTCACACAGTTTCACTGCAGCAACAGAATTCCTTGCAAGCAATACTGTTTGGAGGTTCAGACGAGGTGTCCCTTTATATTACCAGACAATGATGATGTCATCTATGGAGGACTATCAAGTTTCATCTGTACAGGTATAGTATGGAAAAGCTAATTTCACTTGTTTTCATAAATCTAAATGTGAAGGAGAGTATGGATAATGTTTCTTCCATTAGGTCTAACTGTGAGAGCCTGAAGGTATTCCTCATCACAAAGATTTGTCGGTGGTGCTAGGATTTGAGCCCAGATTTAGTAATGCACATTTATGCTACAGCTCACCACAGTCATTAACTTTACAAAATAAAATTACTAGAAGAAATTTGTTCTGGTTATTTTTTACGCTTAATAATTTGGTGGAGGATTTTTGTTGCTCTGTGTCATGCAGTACTCGGAGAAAGAGGCTCTGTGTCATGCAACATTCAGAAAAAAAAGAGAAAGGCAAGTCCAGTTTGTAATATATTCACCTTTGTTCACCTGCTTTCTTATGTCAGATCAATGAAGAATCTGAGGCATAGCACTCAAAACTGTGCAGCAGCTCTTGGAAGGTAAATGTCTAAGGAAAGGTCTTTCACTAGTGAAGAATTTTAAGAATCAGTTGTTCACCTGTGAAGAACTGATCTTTTGGTCTCTTCTTGAGTCTTGTTACATTCTGTGAGTATTTTAATTTTAAAAGGTATTGCTAATATATGTCTGCGCATTGATTGATAAAATGATTTGGTTCCTTTTTTACATTCCATTCTACTTCAAACACTATCCCAGAATGACCCAACCAGAGAGGACGTGGTAGGCAAGAAATACTTTTAGTACATCTCAGGTACCTCAGATACTTTTTTTCAGGACTCGCTGGAGTCATCCACACAATATTTCATCTCATATCAATGTTATCTGCAGATTTCTAGTGTCTAGAGTATCATCTGAGAATCCTGAAGATATTTAGGCAACTTATTCCCATTAAATCAGTAAAAAGGCATTTCAACACTTAGATCATTTGACAGCCTGGTCCCAATATCTGAAATTAGACAGCCTCCACCTTAAATTAGGGCTGCACTGGAAAGCTTGCTACCAAATACGCTGCCCAAGGTAAGCTACTTAAAAACGGAGTAAAATATAAAACCCCATAAATGTTCTATACCATCTCAGAGGCAGGCATAATATTTGTGGCAACTCACTTCACCTTATACGCTGTGTCTGGATTTAGGGGGGTTCTGGTAGCAAGATATTTACTGTATTTCTTCTTGAAGATTAAGCCTATTGTGCACAATCGAGCAATATCCATCCATATGCAAAAGACAAAATAATGAAATGTAAGCTGAGTAATAATTTGGTAGTCATCAATAAGGTAATGGTGCTTAGCACTTCAATGCATTTCATAAATATTAATAGCCTTCCAATATGCAAACACAGCAAGCAAATGAGCTTTATTTTCCAGTTCAAGATAGGACAGTAAAAGCTAAAGTGAGACACTTAGGACATTTTTATTTACAACATGTATACAATATATGTGTGTGTCCATACATGTATATACGCGTGTGTACGCACTTACACACACAATGGCAAAGAACAAACAAAAAATAAATAAAACCATCTTAGTAATTATTTCAGAAAACCTCTCAGGAAATACATATCCACCTCTTCATTTTCCTAGAATATCTCCAAGTCCAAATTCCTTCCTAAAACAGACAAAATAGATGACTTTGCAAAGATTACTGACAGTCAGTAGCTCTGAGTTTGGGATGAAAAGCAGATTTAGGGGAGGATTAAACTCATTTTAGTGCAGGCATTAGTAGCGTGGGTATCTACACATAAACTCTATGACTAAGCTCTCACTAGAGTCACTGAAGATCTGGTGTAGTCAGTAGAGCTGAGCGCTATTTAATTCAACCTAAGTAGGCATCTGCACCTGAGGAGCTGACGAGCTAACAGCGCTGGCTCCTCTCCATTTGCTGTAGCTGCTGTCAGTGCCCAGGATCTTATTGCGGACACTTAAAACCAGGGTGACCCGAATCTCATCTCAGCAGTCCGCTAGCTGAGATTTGGTTGAACATTTTGTCCTCTCAAGACCCTCAGCATCAGCAGAGCAGAGCTTGTGTTCACAGACCCACAGGAGTCAGCACGCTGACACTGGGTAGTTGTGTGCAAGAGAAGATGCTGAGGAGAGGTACGAGGCTGAAATCCAGATTTTACCTGGCACACAGGCCCATTGTCACCCTCCTATTAATCAGCAGCTCACCGTAAGAGCACCTCCTGCCACTAAACAACGGGAAATTAGTATCTGCTGTGGGACTAAAGAATTACACTTCTCTGCAGTTTAGGGAAGGCAGAATTATTTCATGCAAAGTACGGTGAGTTCAACAGCACACAACATACTCTACCTCAGCATAGCTTGTGGCTTGACAGTTACCTTGAACTCCATTTGCAGAAAAGCAACTGGAAGCAGGCCACCCACGTCATGGGGGATGTCTTCTCCTGCTTCGCTTTCTCTGAGCTCCTGTCTGGCAGACCTGTTCTGGGATTTCTAGTTACTGATCCTGCTCTTCCTGGGCTGGGTGAAATTCATTGGCAAACCCCAAAAGAGTCAGGCCAAAGGTATTTTTATTTGATATTTAGGTGCTAGAGCTGGTTGTCTGGTGTCTCTGTTCAACCTAAGTTTACCAGGAAGCTGGTCACCATTAAGCTTTGCTACAGGAAACACAGCAGGAGCAAACTTCGTGTTCAGGGTTTCCTCATGAATGGCATTTTGCCACAGCCTGTCAGTCATTTAAATTAGGCTTCAATATCTCTGCTGCTCCTGGCTCCTATGGCATCCCATGGAGAGAAATGCTACAGGTCCGTTTTTGAAATTTCAAGTTACATTTTCAGAGAAAGCCAGCAGGAACTGAATTGGGTTATGTCAGTATGAGATTTTTTCCCCCATGAAACTAATGAAAGACTACCTGGCTAACTAAGGAGCACTGTTAATTATAAAATATTTTCTGGACAAAAAAATATTACCCCCTCTGCTTATAGGATGATTCATCTCTGAGAAACTTCAAGAACTTGTGGATTCTGATTTTCTTTAATAATGTTTTAGAAGCAAGAGTTTTATAAGAAGGGCTTCCCTTCATCCACTCCATGGTAACAGACTATTTCCTCTAAGATCCAGTAAAGATCTAGGTTAATGGAAAGACAGAAGACTGATTTCTATAAAACATTTCAATACACAGCAGAAGGCAAGTAACAGGAAAAGGTGTACTGGTGATACTGTTTTTATTTGATATTGATTACAGCACAGAGCGCAGGATGTACATACAAATATTACGGGCCATTTTCCAGTTGCAGTTAAATAAGAGGCTGGTGTGGCTTCATGTCACCAGCAGCGGTAGGAGCTGCCGCAGCGGTAGGAGCTGCCGCAGCGGTACCCCATCCCCATCCCACCGCAGTGGCGAGCGCCTGCTGGGAGCGGGGCCACGGGGGCACCAGTGGACAGGGAACTCACATACTTTTTTTTCTCTCAGGGCAGGGTTTTCTCGAGGTTGGAGGCTGTAAAAAAAAAAAAGTACTGGAGGTTATAAGAAGAAATAATAACAGAGGTTTTATCCTTCCCTGGAAGGCCCACGTGAGGAGAAAACAGCATAGGACTGGCTATTTTTCCCAAGAAATTTTGCATTTATTGTTATCTTTGACACCATCAAATAAAAAAAAAAAGTTGTAGTTTATAATATGGATTAATAATGACTTCTTGGAAATTCCTGAAGGACTGGTATAATAAGTGAGAAGTATTCTAGCCTGAGAATGTTGAGAATGTCTTACTTGATTACCTCCAATGAAAGTAGATAGTGGGAAAAGCAGAGGGGATGCTACACTAGCTGTCTATCACCAGAACTTGTCTTTTGTAAAAAAGCATGTGAGGATGTGAGACCATTGCAGTGCAAGAGGAAGTGCTTGGGAGATTAATCAAAACAATCAGAATCACAGTGTGGTTCTGATTATGGAAACATGCAGTTAGCTAGGAAGAAGTTTGTGTTCCCCTCTCCCCGCTTTCTTCTAGGAAATAGAAGGAAAGAACTCGTTCTTTCCATCAGGTGCTGTTCCGGAACATACTGTTTTTCATATTTGTTAAAATTGAATGGTTGCTTTCAGTTTAGACATTCAGAGTTTATATCCATATGATTAAAGTTTCCAGTGGTTTCATCTAATGTTTCTTTCTGCAGCTCAGATGTCTAGAATTGCCTGTGCAAAACAAAATCTTATTTAAGGGAGATAATAGTGGTGTTTAGGCATTCATACACACACGCGGCAGATTACAGTGAGTGAGTCCCGTGCAAAGTTCCAGGCGAAGTTTTTTATGTAGCCATCTTTTCCTTTTCTTCCCCCCAATGTGAATGGAAGATGTGGAAGATTTCTTTCACACATGTTCTCTGAGTGTGAAAAGAGAGCTGAAAGTTGTATGACTCTATGTACAGAGCACTGGGAAGAGACTGGTAATGACTCACAACTCCTGCTTTTCCCATGCCTTCCAAAGTAACGTGGTCCAGCAGCTGGCCTGGGGACTGGTCCAGCCCATGAACTGTTTCTGTTTGTCTTGCTGCCATCTCCCAGTGGAGACAGAAAGAGGATGCAGAAGCCGTAAATTTTTTCTTCACAGCCAAAACTATCCATTCAGGCCTGCAGTTTGCACAACGCAGAAAACACGAGAGCTCAGTTTTCACCAAATGATCAGCCGAGTTGCCCAAAGAGAGGGGAGAAGAGATCACCTCTCCTCCGTACACACGGCCCTTCCCCGAGCAGCCGGGATATGCCATCAAGACCAACGCTGCACTTGCATCCACATTAGCAATCTAGTTCAGGAATGTACTTTTGAAGCAAATCTCCTGTTCATACTCCTTGCTGTTTGACTTGCACTGGGGAGAGGTCTTGGAGGATACAAACTGGGTTCCTTTGGATTAAAGTAAACTAGGAGATGTGCTACAGGACCATACCTAGTACCCCCCAACCACTAATGCACAAACAGTCTACAGAATTAGACTAGAGCTAGAGTGAGGTAAAAACCCTCCAAATGTATTTAGGGTTGACACAAGATACTCAGCACCAGCTATTTCGTTATACAGATCTTCTC